ACCGGCGCACGTCGGCTCTTCGTCCGTCGGTCCCATCCGAACGCGTCTGAATTCGTCTCGACTCGTCTCCCGTGACGGCCTCGTCAGCCGTCAGCCAAGCTCCGTCCGGATCGATACGCCTGCCACCCTTAGGATTCCCTCCTGTGCTTCTACCTACCACCCTCCGAGCTCGTCTTCCTCCACCTCCTCCTTCTATGCCCACTACTGAAAAGCAATGCACCTACGCCTCCTCCACCTTCCACCGGGTCCCGTTCCTATTCCACCCCCTTGGTCGCCACCTCCTGCCAGCCGAGTCTAGTTGAGTCGAGTTGAGCCACCGGCCGGGTCAGAAGACGTCTGCTGCCGCTGCCCGGGCGAGCGACAGCTACCCCCACCCTCACTTATTTTCCCTTTCCTATACACCTCATCCTCCTCCTCGTACCACTCTTCTGCAACCACCACCTACCGTACCTACACACTCCTGCCCGACTTAGCCTAGCTGCATGACTCTATTCTCTTCAGACCTGACGGCTGATGGACAGCCTGCTGCTTGCCTGTCGATTCGATCCTGTTAGGTGGGTACCGGCTCGGGCTGGATGCAGGGCTGGATGCATCGGCTGTGTGACAAAAATCAAAGCACTGTACTAGTACGTATACGCAAGTGTCATAACATCTAGAATATATATATATATACATCTAATTAAATTATTTTTCATTGGAGCAACATGATATGCAAACCGTGGAACAAACTGATACGATTTTCTATCAGTTTCCCCTGGGACCGAGATAACACACGTTTCGGCTGGTATCACTACCTATGACCCTGGCCGGGTAATGATTACGCATACGTGCACGCGTAAGGGCAATCGGTGCACTTAACCCCTTGACCTACCGGTGCTCGGCAGTCGGGGTCAAAGCGAATCCACTTTACAGGCGCCTTGCCGCCGTTTACGACTTCCCGTTCTCGTTTCTCTCTCTCTCTCTCTCTCGGGATTCTTTCTCTCCTTACTTTCGGTCTGTTTCTTATACCTCGCCAGTGGCGCGGAGTGCGGGGGGCCAGGGGCGTATTGTCACGAAGGTGCAAAAGTTCATAATAATTAATCGTTAGGATTCGAGGGCTAATTAAAGTTTCCCGGTAACAGCTTGGCCAGTCTTTCGTCTCCGGATTAGTTATCGTTTCTCTCTGTCTGTCCTTCTCTCTCATGTAAGTATACATATACAGTCTCTCTCTCCGCTCCCTCCGTCTCTCCTTTTCTAACCGCACTCCACACTTCCTCATTCTCGACCATCTCACTTCGTAACAGACTGCCCCCCTCCCGACCCATCCCCCCCCCCTCTGACTTGTAGCGCCTTTCCACCTCTCGTCATCCCCAGTGCAAAGCGACCCATTGACGACGTCGGTCAATCAATACTCCAGCTGACAAGTGTTCATTTCGAACCGACCCGCCACTTGCACAGCCTCCACCCTTCTGAACCTCAATACATCTTACCCCCCTTCCAACCTGCCCCCCCCCCTCTGGTAGAACCCAACCTTATCCTTATCCACCTATAAGAGGGACAGGGTTGACCCGATGGAAAGTCTATGAAAGGAACAGTCGGATGAGAGAAACGTTAAGCGGGTGGGAGGAATGAGAATAAAGCTGAGATACTGGAATATAGGGGAAAAGGATAAAGGATAGAGTAAGATCGGAACAGAGAGGGAACGGTGTGTCGGGGAATGGATATAGAAAAAAAAAAATTAATGCTATTTTTATATATATATTTATACAGGCTTGGACGTGGAATCAGCGTTAAGAGTTGAGAATGCATTTTGATATGCTGTCTGTTGCGGACACTCGTCACCAGATGGCAGAGCGCTCGACAATGATGGAGTTCCTGCATATATACGGGTATACGGAGGGACGACCGATAGCTCGTGCCCGAGGTTGTCCGGTGTTTTAGCCGTTGGAGGTAGGTGGCGGGCGACGTATCTGATTGACAGTGACGCGAGTGTACGCGTCGTTGACGGACGCGTCGGCGTAGCTACGGCCGACTACATGTCAGGGCCGTGTAACGATGACGCTTCCGGACACCGCCAATCAATCAGCTCATTACACCGCGTCAGTTATCTGTCCCGCGACCGGGTGTCCCGGCTCCATTTGTCACGAGGATCCACCTGCTCGACGTCGGAGTAGATGGCACTGTAGTCAGTTTGCTGAAAAAAAAAAGAAGAAGAAGAATAACACGTTCCGCACTTATTTTACTTCTTTTTTTTTTGGCTCTCTCTAGCTATATACCTTTCGGCTCTGTTATTATCCGTTGTCTCTTTTTTTATCATTCTACGAATTACCCCACGCTCCTGATACTATAAGCACACCCATTGACACCCATTGCTCTTGTTCCATCTGCCATTTTCATCCCGTGAGCTCAGCTTGCTCGTGGCACGGCTAAACTCGCACCCTGCTCGACATCCAGGGATCCGGTGGTACGGCCCTGACGTGATCGTAGATGGGAACCTATCTAAGGGGAGATTTCTAATTTATGACGCTGGGGCGATGTGATGAACAGACGTCATAAAGCATGTCGCCCTCCGCGTCTCTAGCCTACTCCGCCCCTGTTTCACGTCCGCCCCTGTTATCGCTGTACCCCCCCGGGTCCCCCCTCTTCCTCACGACCTACCATCCCCCTGTTACTCCTGGTAGCCCCATGCCTCCTTGCCACTATAACCCCAGACCCTCTTCGAAGCCGTAATACTCGTCCACATGAACCTCAGCAACCTTCTCTGTCCTTTTCTCTTTCTCTTTATCCTCCCCGTATCGGTCTCTCTCGCTCTCTATCCGCGCTCCGACTTTTGCCGCCCTCAGTGATTTGTGGCCTCTCGAATTCTCTTCGGGGGCGCCCCCTCGCTCTGGCACTCCTCTCGCGCGTCCCCCCCGCTCGGCCACCTCGCCCCGGATCCTCGATTCTTGCGCCGCCCCTGATACCTCATGAATATCATAGGATCTGGCTTCGCCCGGTTATAACCCGACGGTCCTTTAATTAGTCCTGATGCGCGTACTGCTATAAAATCCAGGATCATTTTGAATAGGGACTTTTTAAGATTAGACTTCTTTTTTTTTTTTTTTTTTTT